GCAAAGATAGGGGTGCAGAGGGAAAGACCTTCTCGATGACACGGTTGCCCCCGAAGCGGGTGACGAACTCTGCCGGCGAGGCGACGGTGAAGTCCCGTTGCAGATCCATCTTCCTGTTCTCACGGCTCTTCTTCGCCAGGTGCAGCCCGGACATGCTAGGCCTGTGGTGGGACACGATGGCATTCAGTGAACTCGCAGCCACACGAGCAAACCCTCACCCAGCCTGAGGAGAACGCTGCTGCCGGCTGGGGCTTCACCAGGGGGTCGGATCCACAGAGAGCCCTGCAGCAGCACAGACCAGACTTTGCCCCCTTTGTGGTTTCTCCCGAGTAAAGCAATAAAACCTTTCACCCTGCTGACACACGCAGGGACCATTGGGATTCACTTTCCTTGCTACCAGCTCCTTGTTGTGCACCGGGATCTCTCCAGGGACATTTAACACCCACTGCAACACCGCAGAGGAAAGCTGGTTTTGGCTGAGTTATAGAGGGGAAGCATTTTGAGGTGAACAGAGCGTGTTTCACAATCAATACACATCTCCCAGGAGCTGTGTGTCCACATTGATTCAAACACCATGGCAAGCAGATTTGCAGCCACAGGGGCTGGACTGAGACCATGCTGCACCAGACAAAAGCCTCAGGGTTTACATTTCAGGGAGCAGAGAGCTGCTCAGGGTTTTTGGAAGCATGTTTGTGCTTCAGTGTCAGTGAGAGCACTGCTATCACTGCCTGCTCCTGCACCGCTGACAGATCCCAGCCCAGCTGCAGCTGGAAACATGTCACCCTTTGCTCCAAGGACTGAGGAACAGGGAGAGTCCCAAGGGATCAAAATGCAACACCAAGTGCAGACTCTCCCACTGCCAGGAATGTTACCTGCACAAATGCCCCTTTGCAGTGACCGAGGTCTGCCGTAAAGCCCCCACAGCTCCCAGTTCACACCAAACCCTGTATCAGAGCCATATCTATACCCTACATCCCCAAAGGACACTCGGAGGTGTGGGTGGCAGGAAAAACACCAGGTACACAGGATGGCACAGAGCTCCATGTGTCTGTGCAAGGCAAGCAGCGCTGCTGCCTCCAGACCCCACGGCAGGAGCACCAGGTCTCTGAGGGGTAGAGCCAAAGGTGCCCCGACAAGACCACCCCAAACTGTGCTAGGGTTAGCAAAGGGGGAGCAAAAAGCAGGCAGTGCTCTGTGAGAAACCTTCCAAAGAGTGTGCTGCACTGCTCCCAGCAGCTGCCCTGGGAATTGGCTCTCCTGCAGCCTGCAATGACAGCAGCTGCAGCTCCTTGCCGCATCAGCCCCCCATCCTGCCCACACTGCCTGCTCCACCACCCCAAAACACCTCCCCAGGCTCACCATGCTCCCAGCCAGACTCACCCCCACCATGGTTTTCCACTGAAGGCATTTCCATGCCCTCTGGAGTCTATTCCCTGCTTCACAGCCCATCGTGCATCCCTGAAGGTCAGAGGGAGCTGCGCTGGTGGCCGGACAGCTGGACCAGTCCCTCTGCAGGGCTCTGGCCCCAGCGGTGTTATAAGGCAGCCCTCGCACCTCCCACCTCCTGGCACGGCAGCAGTGGGCGCAGGAGGGTCTGACAGCGCTGGCAGCCCATGGCAGGCAGGCAGGGACCTCCCCAGCCAGGCAGGCAGTGCAGGAGGGTCTGACAGGAGGGTCTGACAGTGCTGGCAGGCAGGCAGGGACCTCCCCGACAGCCAGGCACCTGCCTTCCCATGGCTCTGCCCAGAGTTTTAAGCAACTTTCTATTTTAATTACCAGCTTCACATTCCCCTCCCTCCCCCTCCCCGCAGATAACTCAGCCAGATTTTGAACTGGTGATTGTTATTCCACAAATATTGTATAAATAAGCAAAGGAAAAAGAACCAGCCTCCCCTCCAGATGAGCTGATTTCATATAAGCAGCACTCGGCACATGTATTTTAAGGGGAAATATGCCAAACCCCCTTGGGAGATTGGGAAATGTCCTAAACTCTCCATGCACTCAGGGCATTTTCCAAGTAGCTGGAGCACTGCATCAGGCAGTGCTGGGTTTAACACATTCCTGTGCATTCCCAGTGTCGCTTGGCAGCTCTGCCAGGGCCGGCTGCTCTGCCTGCTTCCCTCCTGCACCCCCAAAACCCACTGCAAAGCCTGCGCCAGCACAACCATCCCATCCTGCAAACTGCACCAACCGTGGCTACAACATGACTCAGGCAGTGACATAAGGAAATTCCTCCCGTGTTAAAGCCCAGACAAGCAGCAGCGATTCCCCACCGGCAGAACGGTGCGTGAAAGAGCCCAAACCCCCAGCGAGGCAAGACGACACCGTTGGGCTGTCAAGTTTCATCACGCGTCCCTGCAGCCAAAGGTCTTTTATTTTTAACTGGGAGTGGAGCAGCCAGGAGCTGGGCAGCAGTGCTTTGTTTCCAGTTATTTATAATATCCGTCAGCTGTGCTTGCACAGGAAGCCGCCTGGTACAAGCCAGCAGAGAGCTGCCCCACAGCCCCTCCAGCACCAGCACTGGGCAAAAGTTGCTGTGAAGCTAGTTACGAAGCAAAAGCTCATCCTCTTTTCATCAACTCATCACAAGAACACCATAATTTGTCTTCAAGAGTTGCACAGGCAGAGGAAGACCAGGAGCAGCACAGGAGCACCCCATGTACCCCACTCCTACTAGGATGCTGTTTCCCTACATGCAATACCCGGATCATGTCAGCATCCCCACCATAGCAAAAGCAACACGTATGCAGCGGTGGGAGTGGGTCCTTGTGGGGTCCAGCCCTAGGGCCACAGAGCAACATTTGCACACACAAATGCACGTGCATATGCAGGTGCCCTGTCAAACAGCCATGCTCAACTCGTGGGTTTACACCCCATGAAATGCCCCCAGCAACACTCATGCACAAAACAGCACAGGGAAAAACACCAGCAGCGCCTGCTGCTGCCATTCACCACCTCAATCAACCCCAATCTCATTTTGCCACGCAAGAAAACCCCTATTCCCTAATGTACCCCCCATCCTGTGCCAACCACAGCTGAGGCCAGTGCACAGGCGCAGCCTTTCCCAGCACCAGGAGATGGTGCAGGGACAGAGAGAAGTGGCAAAATGAGAGAGGAAGAGTTGAGAAAATTTGGCTATTTGGCTGCAGCGCTGGGGGTTGTGTTTGAAGGAACATCACGCACACTTTCCACCCTGTTCATTGACATCCAAAATCACTGTAATGGAGCAACCCCTGCCCCAGTGCTCATGTGGCACTGCTGTCACACAGAGCGTTTGGACACGTCCTCACTTCCCAGGGTTCTGCCACTAACCTTATTATCAGGGTTTTTCATGCAGCACCAAGTCAAAGGGAGCAGGACTGGGGTATTGACTGGGGACTCTGAGAAGCACATGCACATGCACCCCGACTTTAGCAACAGGGTCCCTGAGAAATGCACCCCCAAAAAGCATCTGCCTGCCCCAAAAGGGGCATCTTTGCACCACCGCTGCTCCCGACCCCCATGCATTGTACCTCATGCCGGTGGTGGGCTCCTGTGGGGCCGTCACGGCGGGGGGCTCGGTGCCAGTGCCCCCCACCCCGACCAGGCTGCTGCGCCGGCTGCCCACCCTGAAGGCAGCAGCCACCAGCTCATCGTCGGAGGAGTTGTCATCAAAGGAGCCCAGGACGAATTTAGCCAGGGCCGGGCGGCGGAGAGCGGCGGGGTTGTACACCGCAATCTGCTCCTGCTCCCCCACCGCAGCCTTGCCAGACCGTGGCGGAGGGTTGGGGGCTGGGGGGCTCGGCCATGCCGGGGGTTTAGCTGTGGTGGGAGCTGCTGGCTGCTCCGCCGGGGTCTCCTCTGGCTTCTCCTCCTCCCCGGGCTGAGGGTTGGACATTTTGGCGCAGACGAGCCGCACCAGTATCAGCAGGAGCAGGGCAGCCAGCAGCATTCACCTGCCCTGGGGAGAGGCACGGAGACGCTCTGTCAGGGAGGAAGCCCAATGGCCATTTTGAGGGGGGCGGGGAGGGAGGGAACAGCCCCCCAAAACCACCAAGGCCCCTTCCCCAGTGCTCTCCCCACCACTGCCCCCCCAGAGCACCCAGCCAGACCCCCCCCTCCAGCTCGGCCAGGCTGCCTGCAGGCTCAGTCAGAGCTATTTTTACTCCCCAAAACAGGAGTGGTGCTGGCAGGGTGAGGGAGGGGGGGGGGCACAGCTCCGCTCTGCCTTCACACAGCCCTGAGGGGGCTAAAATGGCCTCCCCCCAACCTCCCCACAGCGTCCAAAGGGTGGTGGCAAAGCCACCCCACCAGCCCCAACCCCTCAAACTGACACACTCCCCCCCCCCACCCCAAACCTCCACAGGCAGTAAAAGCTGGGGAGGGTCGTGAGGGGGAAAACGGCCACTGCCCCACCATGTTCCCCCCTCAGCCCCGGGCCCTTCCTGAGGGGAAGGGCACCACTCACCATGGGTGCCGAGCCCCGGTGAGGGGACAAGCGCCGGCTGCAACTGCCCACACCGACGCCACCGGTCACGCTTATCTCGGCCGGACACTCTGTCCAGGCCAGGCTGGGCCAGCTGGGTGCCAGGCCACAGGGGGGTGGCCAGGCCACATGGAGGGGGGGTACCAGACTCCCCCTGTCTCCCCCGAGGCCGGCGGTTGCCCGACAGTTGCGTTCCGGCACGTGACAGTAACGTCAAGCAGAAATATTTCCCCTGGAAAACTTCTGCTGGAGGCGAGGGTGGAAAGGAAAGGGGAGGGGAGGGGGGTGAACATGGCGTGGCTGGCTGGGACACCGGATCCTTGGAGGACAAAGGTGTCCTGGCCCCATTCCTGGTCATAGGGATGGACGAGGAGGAGGAGGAGGAGAAGCTCCAGCACCTACAGCTTTGCCTCCTCATGGGGGAGTAGGGACCCCCCACACCCTGAGGCCAGCAGCCATCACAGAGCCAGGGCCTCACCTCAGGCACCTTTCCCTCCTTGCCTTGATCCTACCCATGCCAGATCACACCACAACATACACAAAGTCAATTTTATTTAAAAACAAACAAAACAAAACAAAAACAAACAACAAACTGGGAGGAAAAACCCACAATACAGCCACAGAAAGTGTAAACTTCACTTGTACTAGTGTTACCTATCAGAGGAAGTATCAAAGAAAGGTTTACAGCATTGTTCTATAAAAACTAAAGTAATTTCCCAATGAAGAAGGCACTTTACTTCCATTAAAGGAATTACAAAGTCAAAGATGAACTGGAAACCCAGAAATGCAAAGTGCCAACTCTGCCTTCATCCTGGAAGTCCCAACAGTCATCTTCAACACTGGCCAGAAACCTCGATTTGCTCCTATGAAGGCACAAACCTCCCTCTGTTTTAAGTTCTTTTAAGATCTTAAATAATTCACAACCATCAGCCCATCAGTTGGCAGATCTTGATGCAACAAACCTTCACTGCCACCATCAGCATCTACCACAAAGTTGATGGTGCTCACACTCCACCTGTCATCCAAGCAATTAATACACCCAGTAAGAATCTCAAAAATTATGGGTTTCCTCTCTAAATGCCGACAAAAACCTCAGAGCACAAACAGAGCCTTGGTCACAGTCTCCCCTTGGCAGTTTGGGGGAAATTTACCGCAAAATCTTGACAGTACAGATACACCAAGTAACTATTCTGACAGCATAAGGTCTTTACAGTCTCAAGAGGCCATATTTCTAATAAAACTCCTAATCTGCAGCAAAAGGCTAAAATAAAAAGCATCTGCCTTTTCTCCTATGAAGTCACCTCCACACCCCCAAATATAAAAATCTGGATTTGCACAGTAAGAGGCGAAGAAGCCAGAGGAGGGGCAGTAGGATATTTACAACAGCTGAACAGCTTCACCTGTAAGAACTGACAGCCCTTCACAAGAGCCTGAAAATACATTCCCTTTGCAATAAACACACACAAATTAATATAGAATTATAGAATTTTTTCTTTTTTTTTTTTGCTTCAAACTAGGCTGAGACCTGTTCAAACAGCAGAGAAGTTCTCCACGTAACACGTCAATCTACTCTTTAAAAAAAAATAAAATAAAAAAATATAACATCTCTGAAAGTTTGGTTATTTGTTCCTTGATGAAAATCCAAAGAGTGATTCTCAGGTCAGCAAAAGTTTTTCAGAAACTAAACAACCCCTGAAAGAGGGGCTGTTTCCAACCATTAGACCCTGCAGCCTCTGCCCCGCAGCTCAGAGCGCTCTCCAGTCAATGGGCTTCTTGCCGGATTTCTTGAGCAATTCATTTGTCTTGGAGAAATGGCGACAGCCGAAAAACCCTCTGTTGACAGAGAGGGGCGAGGGATGAACCGTCTGCAGGACGTGGTGGCGTTTCTGTAAAGCGTTAAGAGGAAACCGCTCGTTAAGATTTGCATGTTTGCAGCTCCCTGGACAAGGCTGGCTGCTTCTGTCCCCACCAAGCAGGTGTGATTTCCTCTCTACACCTCCTCAGCCACCAGCCTGAGCACCCAAAAAAAAAAAAGGGGCCACAAGGACCAAGACTTTTATCCCACTGAGCAGAGAAGGGTGGACTACGTCAAGCATCAGCAACACCCTGGCCATTTTTCAATTGCTATAATCCCAACAGCAAATTTTATAATAATTCATAAGCCTTTTCCTAGAAAAATAAAACAAAACAGCTTTGTCCTGAACTGGAGGAAATGGAAGCTTTTCTGACAACAGAAGGTTACGCTTGCTCCACTTTTGTTGCTTAATTCTGGCAAAGGCTAAGCTGGAACACAAGGGTGACTAGATTTGACAGCATGGTTCGAGCAGGGAGAAAATCCCCCAATTCTGTAAAAGAAGTGCCCTCTAGTGTCCACCCAACTGAAAGAAAGAAAAAATGAGCAAAAAGGAAAGAGATGAGGAGGAGTAACCCGTACCCTGTCAATGGAGCTGCCTTTCCTCTGGGCGTAGGCTCCCCACAGCATGAAGACAACCCCGTGCAAGTTCTTGTTGAGCCAGGACACCACCACGTCCGTGAACTGCTCCCAACCTCGCTCCTTGTGGGAGGTGGCCTGGTGAGCCCGCACCGTCAGGACAGCGTTGAGCAGGAGCACTCCTACCAAGGCAACAAAGCAGAGGCACCGAGAATGAAGCAAAAATCAAGCGTTAACTGCTTTTTTTTCCCGTTTCCCCTGAGAAACGATAAATTAAGTTTCCATTCTAAGGTACCTGCTAAGCGACAGGCACTCAGAATTGATTTTCTCTTTTACAGATGGGATTGTTTCCAACCGTGGGTCTTTTTTCTAGGTAGGCTGCTCCACGACACATTGCTAGAGTGTTTTTTTTAACTCACCTTGCTTGGCCCAGCCAGTCAGATCACCGTGACCAGGATGAGTGAAGTCCTCGATATCTGTAGACAGTTCTTTGTAAATATTTTCCAAACTGCAAATAGAAACAACAGAAGATTTTAAATAAACACATTTAAAGACAAGAACAGACAGCACCACTTACCACTCTTAAACTAGACAAGGATTGATTTTAATCTTATTGCTTGAGATAATAAAGCCATTGATAGAAACAGGTAACAGGGACCCCCCTATGCGTGCCTGGATAGAAGCTTAATGAGGAGGTCTCAGCACCACTTAAAACAAAACTTTACGTGCAGCATGTTCTTCAGAATATCAAACTATATAGAATTATCCATAATTTAGCAGTATTTTTTTTTTCTAGGCAACAGACAATGCAAATTTTGCACTTCCTATCACTCATCTAACTCACAGCCGTAACTAATACAGAAATGCAAATCATTTGTAAACTGAAGGGATTTTGGAAATTGAACATTGTCATACCTGGGTGGAGGTGGAACAGGCTTCTGGACACTGAAACAGAGCCCATGAGCTTGATTGGGTCCATGATATGGATCTTGCCCCAGAATGACAACCTTTACCTGAAAGCAGACCTTTGTTAGCACTGAATTATGATCAGTATTATTCACTAAAGAGGGGAGAAAACAAAAAGGTTTATAAATGAGCTTTATCCTAAAATAAACCCACAAAAAAAAAACCCAACCAACCCCAGAAATTGAAGTTAAATCACTGACATCTCATTATAAACAAGTTAAAGAATTCAGTCCCCACCCAACAGTAAGGATTAATATCACCCCAGCTTTGCTGCTAAGATCAAGAAGATATTTTGAGTGCAAAAGACCAATGTTTTCAGAGAGCCACAATAAAATAGCTAACGAAGGTGTTTTCCAAGTAGATTCCCCACACTCTAGCTTTACGCCACACTTGCTGAGATATTTTTCACATGGCTTATCAGCGATGGGATTACCTTAAACACTTTTTTTTAAAATTATAGATCATTACAGATCAAGTATAATCTTTGGATCTTGTATATCTTTTTAAGTGCTACATTAATTTGGTAATGCAGAAAAAAAAAGATCAAAAGACCAACTACAGTTTTAAAGGAAATTCTGTGGCCAGTGAGGGTAATAAAACAATAAAACAACGTTTTGGTATCGGAGATGAAAGAGAAGCCCGGATTTACACGTTACGTGAGAGAAACAAAACAATCCACACCACATGGGACTGAAGCTTAAAGGATCAAACACTGAATTAAGGTGTTTGTGCACCCAACCCCCCAGCGTTTTCACCGTTTTAGAGACTCCAGCAGCTGGAAGGACACACACACCCCCCACCCCCCCAGCTCTACTCACATCCCTGATGTCGCACATCTGCGTCCAGGTGAAGACTTGGTCAGGGGGTGGGTAGACCGTGTAGCGTTTCCTCTCCTCTGCTACAAACGCCATCAGCTGGAGGGTAGAGGGGGGAAAAAGAGGGGGGTTCAGGCTGGGGAAGGCGGGGAGCGGCGACCACCCAGCCCCGCCGCCCGGAGCGAGCCCGCCCGCCCCCCTTTACCTCCACGAAGTACGGTTTCGAGAACTCCCCGGCCAGCTGCCGCCGCCAGCTCTCCCCGAAGCCCGGGGGCACGTTGCGCTCGGCCAGCCGCTGCCGCGCCGCCTCTTTGTTCTTGCGGATCCGCTCCAGCTGCTCGGGGCTGAGCGGCGAGCCCGCCCCGGCCTCATCTCCCACCGCCTTCGCCTTCTTGACGGCGCTGACCTGGTAAGGGCGAGCGGAGGGGTAGCCGAGGAACGGGCGGAGGGCGGCGCGGCCCAGCCGCAGGCCCTGCTGTAGGGCCAGACCGACCGCCATGGCCCCGCCGCGCCCCGCCCTCCCCAGGGCGGCCGCACGCACACACGCGGGTATTTCGCGGCAAAAACAACCGCCGGCCCGCTCCCATTGGCCGCCGCGCCGCGCCAGCCCCGCCCACAAGCGGCGAGCCCAAACCCATTGGTTAAGGGGAACGAGCACGCTCTTTTCCTATTGGTTCGCTGCTCTTGCAGCGCCGCTCTGCCTAGCAACTGTGACGCGCCGGCGGCCCTCAGCGCCCATTGGACAGCGCCAGAGAGAGGCACCTCGACTGGCAGCTCATTCAAGCGTGGCCGGAGCGCGGGCTTTTTGGAGGCGAGTGGCGAGTGGCCTCCTCACCAACGGCCACCAGCGCCCCTAGACCCCCCCCTTTCCACAGCCGCAAGTTCCCCCCGCGACAGCCGGCAGCCCCCCGGCCGCCCGTCCCCCCTCACCCCCTCCAGGGCCGCCAGCGCCCCCGACCCCCCATCCCCGTTCCCCCTCTCTCCTACCTCCTCATCCCCGTCCGCCTCCGGGGAGCGGCAGCGCTTCTTGGCCGGCGCGGCGCTGAAGAAGGAGTGCAGCGTCTTCTGCCCGATCATAGTGGCGGCGGAGCTGGGCGAGGGGCGACCGTGAGGGGCGACAGCGGCGGCGGCGACAAGGATGCGGCACCGAATGGGCGGAGCGGCGATTTGGCGCCAAAAGCGCGCGCGAGCGCGTGGGCGGGGCTCATCCTGAGGGAGGGTGGGCACAGGCTCGCGCACGCGCACTCGCTCCCCCCTCTCAGCGGCCGCTGAGGGGGATCCCGCCGTCGCCGGGAGGAGGCGGTGGCAGCGCTGAGGCGGGGGGCCCCGCCTCCCCTCCCGGTGCCTCCCAGCGGGCGCCCATGGACCGATATGTGGTTAAACGCCCCCAGGGTGAGGCGGAGGGAGGCGGGAAGAGGCCGCGGCCGGCGGAGCCCCCCTCAGGGCAGCCCCCCTGGCAGGAGATCCGAGCTGAGGGCCTGAACTGCGACTACCGGCTCCTCTTCGGCAAGGCCGAGGCTGACGAGATCTTCCAGCGGCTGGAGGAGGAGGTGGAGTACTTCGAAGGTAAGGGCCGCTGGGGTTGGGGGGGGCTCGGCTTCCAGCACCTCGTCCCAAGGTGATTGCCGCGGCCTGGGCAGGGGACGTTTCTGGAGGCACCCGGTGTTTGCATAATCTGGCCCTGCGGAGTGATGTGCCAGCGCAGGTCTGGTCCTGCAGGGGTAGTTTAGCTTGGCTTTAAGTGTGTGACAATCTTCTTCGCTCACATCTCAACGTTTGCAAAGAACAGGGGTAGTCCTGGAAGGGTGACGGGAGGTTGTTGGTAGATGTGGAATATGAGACGTCCCTGGTAAAATCAATTCAGCAACAAAATACGATGGGGATGCTCTTCCCATTCGTCACATTCAATGGGGATAGTAAAACAGTGTCAAATTTGAGAGTTAACACTTGTGACAGCTTTTGGGTTGTCATCAGCATCCTCCTTCCTCCTGTCCCACTGGAGGTTCACAGAAGCTCCAAATCAAGGAGATTGTTGAACCTGGGAACTGCGGGGGTAATACGGAGTTGGTTGTGATCCTTCTCATCTTCTGTTTAAACAGGTGAAATGACAAAATTGCACGTGTTTGGCAAATGGCATGACATCCCAAGGAAACAGGTAACCTATGGAGACCCTGAGTTAACATACACTTACTCGGGCGTTACCTTTTCTCCGAAGCCGTGGATCCCAGTTCTCAACCGTATCAGAGACCGCATCGCTTCGGACACTGGACATACTTTTAACTTTGTTCTTATTAACAGGTATGTCTGATTTCCAGTTGCATCAAGCAGCTTGTTCAAATGAAAAACTGCTTGTGCAACACTATTGACGGACCACTGACAAGTTGTTCTACATCCATTTAATTGGATTGGTAGAAGAACTAACGCATCTCTTCTGTGTACAGATATAAAGACGGTGGGGACCACATCGGTGAGCATCGAGATGATGAGAGAGAACTGGTTCCACGCAGCCCTATTGCCTCTGTGTCCTTTGGAGCTTGCAGGGACTTTGTTTTCAGGCACTGTGATTCCAGAGGGAAAAATGCAACGCGCCACATGAAGCCCATCAAACTGCAGCTGGCCCACGGCAGCCTGCTGATGATGAAGTACCCCACCAACGTGTATTGGTACCACAGCCTGCCCGTCCGCAAGAGGGTACTTGCCCCAAGAATCAACCTCACATTTCGGAAAGTGATGACTGTAGCCAAGAAGTGAATTATACACCAATCAAGCACCTGGTTGTTTTTTTTTTAACTCCGAAAATAGGAGCTTTCTTCCCTGACATAACTCTCAATTTCTCATTCAAACGCTGACTTTGATGATCCAAGCTACCAGATGAGCAAATTAAACCAGGAGAGGAGATAGTGTACTTAGTAATTTGTTAATAAAGACTGTGACTACTGATCTTAAATGCCAAGAATACTTTGTGAAATGCTGCTGTAGTCCTGCTGGTACATCTTTTAAATGAGTAATACCCTTGTTTTGCTCAGGAGGAAGTTTGTTCTCAACTGATCTTAATCTAACCAGTTTTCCGAAAAGATCAAAATACTCTATATCCCTCAGATAGCAGTGAAGGAGTTTGTAAACACTGTAGAGTACAAGATGCAGTCATTTAGAGTGAGCCTGGAAGCTGATGCTGTTCAACAGGTCCTTTGTACAGAAACCAGGGAGCAGAAGATGGCCTTTTGGGGAAAGACCGGGTTGGACCATTTATATAGACAACGCAGCGTGAAAGGCTGTAATTTCTGAGAATGTCTGTTTTTCTAAATAATCATCCCTAGGGGTTCCATCCTGACTACCTGAGAGACATCTCCTTCCATGCTGGCAGTGAATCCTGCTGAAATGAGGAAAGACTGAAGTCACCATCAGGCGTTGAGGAGCCAAGCACTGGTAAGTACTGAGTGAGAACGTGAACTGATCCCTGCATAACCAGGCTACAGGCACCTGAATTAGCAGTGGGTCCATTAGGCTATGTCTGTTTAGGTAATTTGGAGTTGGTACTTCCCACCCTCTGCCGCTACCAGAAAATCCTATATTTAGCATGAATTGCTCCTGCATGAATGCTACTCACCCAGGGAATATGAAGTGTTGCTTCTATGGGATACATCGAATGTGGTTTGGTTTATATCTTGGTCTTTGTTTCAAGACATAACCACACATCAACAGCTACTTTTTTTTCTAATAAGTTTGTTCTTTTATTGCTACTGTACAGTTACAAAAATACCCTGAAGTGAAAACGCAACTTCAAACAGCAGTGCAGTGGTTTGACTAAAATATCTTAATTTTTTAAATAATGCACAAAATAAGACAAGAATAACCCAGACACACAGATGTCATCATGGAGGTCTGATCTGATGTTTTTTTAACCGTTTACATTTTATTAACACCTTCTTCACCACGGGAAGCTTGTAAGCAACAGCATTTGATGAGCCTTATATGCCTGCACAGAGCCCAAGGACTTCGAAGGGTTGAGGGTTGGGTGGAAAACACCTGCAGAGGCCTGTGATGCTCACAGCAGGCTGGGAGCAGGTAGCACAGCCCAGGACTGAGGTGCTGACACTTTGCTTCCTTCCTCACACTGAGGGCTAAGCCAAGACCGTCTACTCCTTCCTACCAGTGAAAGCTAGAACAAATGCTGACTACTCAAACCCTCATCTTTATAGCCCTTAAGGAAGCTTTCAGAGTAAATCTGCAGATGAGTGAAACGGAGCAGTTTATCAGCGTCGTGCAGCGACTGTGCTTTCATTCTCATCACACTGCCCCCTGAGCTGTGGAAAGCAGCTCCAGGCAAAAGAAAACCAGATGGAACATGCAGTAATATGTGGCTTTACGTCCCTGTTTACAAGCTGATGAATGTAAGACTCACTCCGTTGTGTGCGTACGTTCTGACCCACCTCCAGCACTACTGCTTTCGACCTGTTCAGGTGAACTTCTCCAAATTTCAGTCAAAAACTCTAAACAGACCCTGTTGGGAATAAATATTGCAGAATATACGTTGCTGGCAGTGGAAATGTTTTGAAGATCTGAGGTACAAATAGTAGACCTGTCAGAGCCAGATGCTTTGTGTGATGTTTTTCTTTAGATGACACCCAGCACTGCTTTACAGAGCTCCTGCTGCACCCCCGCGTTGCCTGGAATGGGGGGCTCTCACCTTCTGCAAGTCCCTCAGGTCTTAGTTCAACAGCCAGGCATTTTTGGCATTTTGCATCCTTCTAAATATTTTGCTTGTTTGTTTTTTCTTCTTGTTTTTCCATAACTTAAAGGTTAACACCATGCTACTGCTAGCCTAGCACAGACAGGGAGACTTCTCAGGAACTAGTACGTCAGTGATTTATAAAGACTATTTTATGTACTATGAGCATTACTTGGAGCAGGAATCATGATCCATACTCTGGAATGATGAGTTGTGTAAATAGTTTTGCATATACATCCATTACCACTCTTAGGTTGGCTGGTTTTGAGCCTCCTGTTTCAGGAACTCTGAATGCCTATGAGCTTTGGGCAGCACTGTGAATGTATGAGGTACAAGGTTGCCCTAAAAAACTATTAAGACCTTTTGAAAACTTAGTCGCTGTTTTACACTGAAAAAGCTTGTCTGATAGAAAAGAGCTAAAAATACCCTACATGCTTTATTCCTGGTAATTTCAAAGCAGTCAAAAGGATTTTTGCTGCTTTTCCCCTCTGTGCTTTGAGACTTTAACACGTCAAACAATCTAGAGCAGCAAAGCACCCCTTCTGTTTATACGGCGATCTGTATCTAACGCAGCAACACTGGTCTTTTCAGGCTGCTGTGCTATTTCACAAAACACATCAAGTGCCCCCCAGTCCTGATTCAGTCACATATACTCTTAACTTCACAAGGATGCTCGGGTTGCTGTACATCTCGGCTCACAATCACAACTGGCACAAGCTCTAAAGCTCAATTGCAAGCCAGACAGCATGTATCTGAATGGTTGATGAGAAATGGCAGTTTTCAGCATTAAAATAGGAAGGGTAAGTCTAAAACACCAATTACAGTAGCCTTGAAATCACAGCATTAAAAATTGTAGTCGATACTACAAGCAACTGTATTCAACAGCTTCATAGTGACAAAGGAAATTACAATACTGATCGCTAGCAAACACTTCTGTCCCTTGATTTCAGCTATATTCCAAATATACAGAGCAATAAATCGGGGCCCTAATAGATTTAAAAAAAAAAAAAAAAGTATCTTTTCTCCTGGAAAAAGGAAACCTCTCTTTGAATCAGCAGAAGTCCTTCTGTGATGTATAAAGAAACAAAATATTAGGAAAATGATGTGAAGAGGGAAGTTGTTGTTCGGATGGTGCATGTTATGTAGAGATGCCTTACTTTATTAAATTCACTGGGGTATCAAGAGAAATCCCATTCCGTTAGCAGTTCATCCCAGCATCTTGAGACATTTATCAGAACGCAATCCCCATGCAGCGGACTCAGACAATGGTAAGGTAGATATTCAAATAAGCTCAAGGCACTTTGTTTCTTAAATCATTGCCTTTGATAACAGTAGCTTCCCATCAACCGCTTCCAGGGCTCCCCCTGTTCAGAAACATCGGCGGTGAAATGTGTAGGATTCAGCATCTCCCTTTGAAAACTAACACACGCCTCAGAATATGGAACACAGCCTCGTGGGGTCTGTTTGAAATGTCTGTTTCAGAGCTGTGATGTTGACAAAATTACTGCCTAACAGAATTAACTGCTTCTCTAACACAGATACACTTTGGACTGCGTGACGTCAGCAGACCAGCTTTGGGTAGTGTAATTTTGGTACAAAACACAACTCCCAGCAGGAGCCAGCCATTGCCACAGAGGGAAGGGAAAATTAAAGGGCCTGTGGTGGGTTATTTGCATAACAGGAGGTGCAACGTCGATCTCGTTAGAGGAATTCTGTCCGTTTTTTGTCTTCCTTCTGCTCTCTCGATCACTCTTCAGCCCTCAACTCCAAGCTTTGGTGCTGTGCCCTGGAGTGAACACGCTCATAAAAAAGCAAGTAAGCGCTGGAAGAAAGGACTTCCTGCAAACTGGCTTTGCGGACGGTGTCGTCGGAAATCCACAGCCACTGGCTGCTGACAGAGAGGGGGCTCTTGGGAGAAGGTGGGGAGCGGCGGTAGGTGACAAAGTGTCCAGAGTGCATGTCTCCGTGATGAACCACAACTGCCATCAGGCGGTAGAGGTACAGGGGGGAACTGAGGGACAAAGGAGAAAAAGGAGAGGGTCAGCAGCTCCTGCCGATCACACACACGCACCACAAGCAGCCCCACCTGCTTTGTCTTCAGTTGCAACTTTTTTAGAGCAAACTTCTCTCTCCGTAAGAGAAGTAGTGCCTTGCAGTTCCTTTTCAGTATGCCAAGTCTTCACTGCAGTGCTGCTTGATTCTATTATTAAGAAAACTGAACTATTTTAAAAGGTTATGCTACAGAGGCTACTCCCTTTTGTACAGCATAACTGAATTTTGCAACAGCGTTTTGCATCAAACCTCCCAATGTGCCAGCATTTAGTTCTTAAAGCACCGTTACTGGACAGAAAAGCTATTCTAGAAGAACGAGCTTTTAACTGAAAAGAGGTAAAATTGCAGGAGGTAACCCACAGATAACGACGGACGCAGTTTGGAGGACTTGCTCTCGACCTGCTTCATAACAAATATTGGGCACAAAATGCTTATTTCACTCAGTCATTGTGGGAATTGTCTTCCACGTGTGGAAAATACGCAATGGCAGATAGAAGTGGTATAGAACTAACTGGTGTGAAAATATGTGAACGTTCCCAAAAGCCAAGAAAAGAGCTTATCAGGAGAAGCATCAAAGCTGATCTACTAAGTTGAATCATGGCAGTTGCAACTTAAATAAAGCTTGTTAAATATAACATTTGGAAAAAAAATTCTTTAAGGGATTTATGGCTTTCTTGCAATAATTTTAAAATCAGAGTAAGAGAAGAAATGAAAGGACGGGGTAGAAGAAAACAGCAAAAGTAAGATTATGGCTATTCAGAAGGATGATTTACTGCACCATGAACCAGAGAAAGGAGATTTTGAGTTTTGCTTGTAATATGTTCCACTCCCTTTTCTAGGAGAGAAACGGAGGCAAAGACAACCACTAAAAATCAGCCAAGAGAGAAGCAAAAAATTTCTGCACAGGAGCTAGGATGGATTCTGTTAAATTCTGTGACTATGCAGCCTCAAGGTAAAGACAGAATAAAGGCAAACGTAATTTGAAGGGACAGAAATTACAAGATAGGATACAAATCTCTAACTTACCTGCATTCAGGGAACGCAGCAAGTGGAAAAGTTCCTGAGGACATTAAAAACGAAGAGGAGCAGGCACCATTCATAAAGAGCGGTTTAGTACCAGACGACTGTTCTGCATCTGCAAGAGAAAGATGATGTTCAGGAACTGAACTCAAATGCTGCTATTAATATTACTAATAACAGTGCTCCTGTTCCTGCAGTACCTTTCATCACAGAACGTGACAGTATTTTACTTACTTTAATTCATTACATATTACAATCCCTTAAGAGATGCAGAGGAGTATAATCCAAAGACAGTGGTAACTGGTTTTACATTACAGAATGACAGAATCGCCTAGGTTGGACACAAATATGAAAAGGACCGTGTTTACAAAATCCCAACTAAATAGAATATTGAGCTGCCTAAAAGACAGACCTACTGCAGCTCAATTTTCTAATTGGTTTTTAAGAAGTCATCGTCCCCAGGGTTCTTCCTATGCTTGTCCTGATGCCTCAGAAGATATCACTCACAAGATAATCCCTTGGACTTCCTGAATTCAACATTCCTTCATCCTTTGAACATAAAACATTTCAGTTCTATGCTCTCTGGGATTTTTTTAAGGTTTTTTTTGCAAAAAGGCCAATATGACCTGAGAAACAAACCTTTAATGAAACCCTTGTCCACGCAGAGCCCTTCTGGAAGACACCTGCTCTGTTTCAGCAGACCACCACCACTCTTAGTCTGCTAAGCCTCATAAAGCAAGGGTACTTAATTTTCCAAACCTAGTCATTTCTGTCTTTCTTATCCTGCAGAAAGACTACTTTTTTTTTTTTTTTTTTTTTTTTTTTTTTTTTTTTAATATTTAGTAGGATCAAATTAAATTATTAAAACTGATCTGTAAACTTGGAACAGGGTATCCTGCTGCTTGCTGGGAAAGGGATTTCTGCCTGTCCTCTTTGCACAGATCCAAATAAAGACACTGCTCTTGTGTTCGTTCTACAGATTAGAATGTTTTATCACTGAAACATAGAAATACCTGATAGATTTTATTTTCAAATTAAGTACCTGAAGGTTTTACTGCTAGTCCATCCTTTGTCCCAGGTGTTGTCTCTTCAGGTGTACCTGAAGGTTTTACTGCTAGCCCATCCTTTGTCCCAGGTGTTGTCTCTTCAGTGTTTTTCTGATTCAGCTCATTCTGGCTTGATTTATGAACAGGAATGCGGTATTTGTAGATGTCCATGATCAGGAACTCGTTGAACTGTACGTGTTCGTGACGTTTCAGAGGAGTGCCTTGGTTTGACCAGCTCAGTCTTTGCAGATGGATACACAAACACTGAGGGAGCTTCAGCAATATCCCATAGAAAAGGAGAGTTAAAATACATTTTAAATTAAGAAAAACAGCTGTTCAAGTTAAAAGTATACTACAAGAAATGGTAATTCTAGTGATAAGGAAATACATGACTGAACTGTTCCCCTATGTGCTACTAGATCTACTTTTGAGTTTGTTGGCAATAGTATCCCTAAAACGTGCCACTAACTCCCATCTCTTGAGATTTCTCCTAATGCCACTGCTGCTTGCTTACTCAGCAGTAGGATAGACAGCTAGCATTAATTGTTTTCTCCAAATGGAAGAAAAAAATCAATAAAAATGCATGCGTGCTCTTAAAAAGCCCACCTGTTGATCTCATCTTGCTTGTTGATCTGAGGTAGAAATAAGGATGGGAATTTGTTGTTATAAGACATTTGCTAATACTCAATAAGTAATGGCTTTGCACAGGGAGAGTAGCAGGGGCAGAAAAGGTCAAGTAGTTATAAATATCTGACATTCAAGGTCATGTCAGGGTTAACCTTTAACAATAATTACACATTATTATTAATGGCACCCAAGGCTGTTAATTACAGATGAGTGCCCTCTTCTCCTCTGCATTCTGTGATTACAGAGCAAAAATAATAATAATAAAAGCTTCTAATATAAACTACACCTGATGTTTAGCACCAATTCACTTAAACCAGCTGTATTTAGAACATTTTAATTTCTTTGAAACATGGAATTGCTAAAGTTCCTACAAACATTGTACATATGAATCACTTCCCTTAACCAAGGAAATCAAGAATTAATGTAAGACGTATGAACTGCCACTGAGCCAAGCTCAGGTTTAAGTGTTTTGCTGAATAACAGTAGAATACTCTTCTTTTAAGTTAGAGCTTGATATTTTCCTAAATTGAGGCCTCAATGTCTACAAATACTTGGCAAATGAGCTTACTTTGAATAAAACATTAGTCTGATACCAAAAAGCGGACACCAAGCAAAGAGATCAAAGAAAAAAATTACTGTATAATAGGATTTAATAATAGATTTGGTGGGTTAGCTTGCCTCACCTTTCCTAACTTCAGTTGTTTAACAAATGTTGTTCTCTGGTTTTCTACGCTCTGTCCGTTCAGAATCCCTCTTGCCTGAATCTGAAATCAAAGGGAAAAAAATAAAGCCAGTTGGTTACCTGCTGTCAGCACGCTGCAGGCAACAGTGACTGTCTATCAAGAACTATGGTAAGTAAATTAATTTCACCAACAGTTTTCTAGGAGTTTTCTTAAGAATTGTTGACCTATCCTAGGAGATTAGAATTCTGAACCAAAATCAAGCAGAAATGACAGAACAAGCCCCATCTCCAGGTTTATGCGTAGTCACGTGCCGTTTCTGTTGGTTTTCAAACAAGCCCCTTTGGCTCTGTGCTACCATCAAATTACAGGCAACTGCAAAATACTGTTTAGAATAGCAGAATAAAATATTTGTACATTTTGTAATCTTCGTAATAAACAAAGCTCCAAAATACTTTGTGCAAGAAGAACTCCATTTTAAATATAAGAAATCCCAGGCAGGCCAGAGGCTTTCCTGAAGTCACAAAGAAAGGAGCAGAGAACTGAAACTATAATTCTGTCACCAGGCTTAAAACTGAGCTAGAAGGTTATAGAAATTAAAATGACATACTTTAGTGCAGTTGTCACACACGACATCCTTGACAGATTCCGAGGAGATGAAATGATGGAGACAGTGATCCAGCGTCATAGGACGACCCTTCGTATGAAAACCCAAAATTATTTGCAGTAGTTATTTAATTTTGTGAAAGGGTTTTTCATAAGTTCTTCCTAGAAACTACAGAATTGCAGACTCATTTCTTGAGAAAACTGACTAAATGGCTTTGAGTATAGAACACTGATAATGTAACTAACTGTGGGGATTCTTCCTCAGTCTGGATTAAACACGGAAAACATCACGGCCTATAGATAAGAACAACAGCTGTGACTCCTTTGTGGTTCCTTTAGTGGGGTTTTAAACTACAATTACTATTTTTCTCTAAAGTTCCAGCACTTCATGGGTTACTTTATGCACCCTGACCCTCTACATAGAAGAACTACAGCATTTAGTTGAATTTAAGCACTCCTTCCTATTTTTTTTTGTAGACATTACTACATATTGCCAGGAAGGGCATAATCTTTGATGATGTTATAAAATAAAATACAAACAGCAGAAGATGTGTCCCAAACCCAACCCTCACTGTCCAGGAGAGTATTCTGTAGGCATAAGTGGAATTTCCATGAGTGTGAGTAGTTGCTACTTGTCTGGAAAGACAAATCTCTAGCAGATATTAAGTAACAAACTGTTATAGTTCAAAAATGTCACATTTTGCCCCAAAAATCAACGATGTGTTGTCATTTTTCAAAGAACCAAAAAAAAAAAACCAAACCCAGAAACAATTTCCAGTTGAAATCACTTGCTCCAAAAGCCTGTATTGGGTAACTTGTGTACTACCACCACAGAGCACCCCAAGGTCACCTTCCAAGGCTGCCAGAAACACACAGCCCTCGAGATACGATCTGGTCTGTTCAAATTACGCAGAAAGGACCAAACACTCCACCAGGAGAAACAGAAAACTCTTATTTGTGTCAACAAAGTTGGGCTTGTTGTACTAATTGGCAATTTGCACCCACACGTTAGTGATAAGGCACTCTATTATCCCAACAGGATCAGTTATAAAAAAGCAAGAAAATAAACTGTAGCTACTTGTTTACACTCAGGTTGTAGCATCTTTAGAAGACATCTAGAGAGGATAAAGTTTTGAGGACATGGCAGTAGGCACATTAGAGGGATACGTACCCACACAGCTGCTGGAATACTCAGTGAGAGACTGTCAAAGGTGTCGTACCTCACAGGGCTCTGAAAGGAAATAGTTCACATACCCAGTGAGCTAAAATTTATAACAGTCCCAAAAAAACCCAACTAACCTCACAAAAGATGCCCTCTGGGGTCCACAATCACCTGGTGGAATAGGGTCAAAACCCCTCGCTTTCCCAAGGTAGCTTCTTAGCCTGTTTCTGCTGAAGCTTTCCCTGCTCGCTTAAATTTGTTTACAAGGTTTTGAAAAGTAAAAGTACTAAGTGTATTCTTAGTTTGATCTACAAATGAGATTTACTCTCTTTTTTTTTTTTTTCTTTATCCAGGTTCTCTTCATCTCCCTGCTCTGGATAACTGGACTGCAATTTAATTTGGCTTTGCGTGTGCAAGCTCAATGCTGCATGTTGAATGAATAGCTATTCCTAAACCACTACCTGTGTGAGTGGATTTTCAGACTATAATAGCTGTGGTACTGAATATTAAATATAATACAACAGGTATTAATCTGTTTGATAAGGCAGCTGTTATCCCCACAAAGTGGATCATGCTTAATTTTCTTCGCTGTATTTAGGGATACATTCTTATTCAGCACCAATCCCATGCTAAGTACGTGAAAATGCAACAGTCTAAGCTGTCACTCCAAACCTTTGGAGCTTAAACTAATTAAGTCAGAAACAAGGGATGATGGTTTCAGACCACACTCTGAGTGTTGGGCATCCTTCACATATAAATACTACAAGACACGCATTCTTATACCTGCTGTTCACAGTGTTTGCAAACCATGTTGCTGGTCAGCCTTCCGTGAAAAGGATGCTGAGATTTCCAGTGATTTGACACAGGGGGAAGAGACCCTGAAACACAAAGTTGAAATTGTCCTTTTAGTTTCAATACATCCCTGTTCATCACTGTAATTCCACATTTTTGGCTCACAGTAACAAAAATGACTGCTCTAAAACATGTTGTGTCCCTCTGACAAATAATTAACGGGGTATTTATAGCTGAAGAGATATATTTCAGCCCAATACAGACAAAGATCAATTAATACTATCCCCTTAATAAACAAAGTGACTACACTATGATTGGGGCATTCAAATTTCAGAATGGAAAAAGCATACCTCTTGTTCTGCAGCTTATTTGCTTTTGGGTTATTTCTGGCTGCTACAGAAGAAGATAAAAGATTTCATTAACCCCACCTCAGAAAGCATTAAGTATTAAATATGTTCTCATTTCATCCCTGATATGCTATTCTGACATCAGAACAATTGTGGGAGTTTTAGTGCCTCTTTATATTTGAGAAAGGCCAAAAAACCTAGCGTGCAACAAATTTATAGTTGATGAAATTAACACTTCTAATAAAACAAATAATTAATCTGCAGAATTCTGCGCCTCGGAATACTGAAATAAAAGCTTAACAGATTTTACAAACCTTCTGTATACATTTTAGACAAAAAGAGGTAGAAAATTTCCATCAGCACTAAGTTTACCACTAAGCTGGAGGAGAAGATAAATTTCACCTCCAAATGGGACTACTCCATAAATGTCCACTTTGCAGTTTTTCAGACCTCTTTCATGTGTCAACTCTTACAGATAAGAGTAACTGCTTCTCTGGACTCCTCTTCTGTGCTAGTACTTCAATCCCTACATTCAGTGGATTTAGGAATGCAGAAGCCCTCGTGACAGTGGGATCACTGTAAATTCAGACACATTTGCTTATGAAAACCATTTTTTAAATTGCCTGACCTATCGATTCGTTTCTATCACAGCATTATAGAACAGCTTTGAAGACACAGGGAAAATATCTTCAGTTTCTAAACAGCCATTTTATACCCCACACACTTGGGAATCTAGGCAGACTGCAGAAATTTCTCCTGATAATGAAATAACATCAGTAAAGAAGTCACCTCCAGCGAATGCACATCGAACAAATGTGTCACACGTGGTTGCCGATCCCGTTCATCCTCTAACGAAGAGGTAAGGACATGAAATAGCTCATGGGCATCCTATTAAATAGAGGCATGAGACTTAGAGGAAGCAGAAACAAAAGACATTTTACATTAATAGTAGTCATTTGTGCACCTGCTGCAGTTTTGCCAAAAAAGCTTTTTCTATAAAGCTGAACTTCCATTATTAAAAATATTCTGGGCCGTATAAAATCTCTCAAAAGAGACTAATACTTGGAGAAAGAAAGAAAGAAAAATTAATGGACAAATGCCTGCTTTCCTTAATTTCAATAAAAGTGCATTTGAGATCTATGCTGTTTGCTTTGGCTCTGAGATATACAAGATAGACCCATGTTTTATGAGTGAGATAATTGGTCGAGGTCATTGGCCAGCTGTGCTTAGGGGCTGAAAATACTGGAAACAAGAATCACTTACTTAGGGGCTGAAAATACTGGAAACAAGAATTAGAAATCTTGTATGTTACTTGTAACTAAATTTGGAAATGTTAGTTGAGTTCATCCCTCAAACAGCAAATTAGGGCTGTATCTCTTCTGTTTTAATATTACTGGCTCCATTGAACCAAACCTGAAGGTAATTAAGTATGAGGTTTTGAAGCAGCCAGGGTTTCCATGACAAACTGAAAATACAATTCATCAATCACATGGTTGGTTTCCTTTAGTTTTTAAAGCAAACTTCTCACTACAGCAGATTCAGCTTTGACACTCAGGGCTGTCAGTACCACAGCTTATCTAAGCAAACTGAAAATACAATTAATCAATCACATGGTTGGTTTCCTTTACTTTTTAAAGCAAACTTTTCACTACAGCAGATTTCAGCTTTGACACTCAGGGCTGTCAGTACCACAGCTTGGATTTTCTGTTACTCCATATCTAAGCACTGAGGTGAATATGAGGCAATCTGAGTTGAATTCTGCAATCACCTGCTCTTCAAACGATGAGATCTGCCACCTGTAGAGTCTTAGAACTTCTAAGAGGCAGCTGGCATCCAGGACGTCATCTTCTGTTACCTCTTGGCAGGACAAAGCTAGAGACATCACGTTTAAAAATGTTAGAGGGAGCCACAAAGAACAGTTACAACACAAATCTGTTTATTTCTGTTTGTTGCCCACTGCTCCTGCATTGCCAGGTGAGTCAAACACAACCTGAAAACCTGCAGTTGGTGACCAAGAAAAAAAACAAACAGCTTTGGGGACAACCGCACTTTGTGGTTTTTAGGTACAGTAAGTTAATACCTTTTGGATCTCTACCCCTCGGTGAAAATCGGTTGAATTTGGCCAATGAGCTCAAAGTTAGGAGAGGAAAATTAAAAAGAGAAGAATGCAAGACCACGTGAGCTTCCTTTCTTTAGGAAAGGAGGGTAGAAACGATAACATTTCAAGCTAAATATTTTCTCCTTAGTTTATCACGATGTGAAAACGTTAAAGTACCTTTCAGGAGGTGCAGCAAAGTGACGGACAGGTACTGATGCTGGGTGGACTGGTTCCGCTCTGTCTTGTATTGGGCTGTAAATTCCTCCAGCCACTTGATGAAAGAGGGACAGGAAGATAAGCCTTGCAGCAAAGAGTTCATGAAACAGGTGTTTCCTAAGTTAAGAAGGCCAGGTACAAGCCCTACAAATAGAAGCGTAAGAGTTTACACCATAAAGCCTAGGAAAACCTTACTATTTTCATTAGCAAGGGTTGTGTTAGGTATTAAAATTATATTAAAATTAAATTATTTCATTTCATTTGGTACTTGCACCCCATGAAAACTAAGACTCTGGTATGTATAACAGTGTATTATAAAGTGTTTATATACGTAGTGGTCTCTGAGACTTACACCACTGTAAAAATATTAAAATTGCTTTAAAACTGTTTTTTTTTTTCCTGATAGGAATAGATTTCTATCAACAACAGCAAGATTCAGAATTATCTACTGCATAAACTGTAAAATTCACCCCTTATCGTGCAAGTTTACCGGAGCTGGTGGGGTCACTGCTGCACCCTTGGGTGCTTCAGCTCCGTTTGGGGAAGAATCCTCTTTTCCTCAGATTGGCACATTGTTATGAAAACTCCTGGGTTGCCAAGGATTTATGAGAGGGATTTCTGCTTAGTGAGAGACTTTCACTTCTCTGGTACTAACATTCAGTAAGAGCATGTTTATTTTACATTCCAAAATGCAGAATAAAATAAGGTGCTAGTACCTGTAGCAGTTCAGGAATGAACTTATCACCAGACACAAAAATACATCACAATTTCACAAAAATACATCACAATTTCACAAAAATGTCAATCGAGACCAATTAACACATTACATAAGTAAAAAAAATCCTGTGGACAACACATGATTTTTTAAATTTGTTACGTTTCTAAGCAGGGTAGTGACCAAAACTTGATGGTTAGCAAGGGAAAAGAATTTACAGGCGCTAATAATGAAATAATAATAGAAACAGGTGCATTTCCAACACCCAGGAGAGAGCTGGGAGGAACCGAAATGCAGAGAATCATTAACTGGGGGGGGTTCGGGCCCAGGGAAGGGGGTTTCAGGCCCGGGAAAGGGGGGTTTCGGGGCCCGGGAAAGGGGGGTTTCGGGGCCCGGGAAAGGGGGGTTTCGGGGCCCGGGAAAGGGG